AAAAGAGATGTGAATGGTTGTTTGATGATGTTTTCAAAGGTAGGAGAATCAATTGTGGATGTAGTAGGAATGATAGGTGTAAGCTGTGAAGGTAAAGAAACAATTTTATTTGGGGTAACATCCGAAGGTTTACCTTTGTCTTCAGTATGCGAAGCATTCTCACCCATTGTGACACTTTCATCCATATTAGATATGTTTACAAAAAAGTCATAAGTTCGTGCCTCCATAGAAACTGTCTTGGCAATCGAATCTTCGGGTGGTATTACATCAGTTGATGCAATATGAGAAGAATCTTTCTGAAGATTAGCTTCCAGTGTCTCTGGAATTGTTTCATTTTCATCAGCAGTAGACTCTGACAAAATAACCACCCTACTTTTTTTCTTCTTCTCTGATATGTGTTTTCCATATCAGTCACGATTCTCTTCTTAGAATATGGTGAAGCAGGAGCAGGAATTTCACCAAAAATAACTCCTTGATGCGAAACTTGTGGTTTGCGAACAACATTCGTTAGAGGTGATCGACTCTTATGCATGGACTTCATATTGATTCTTCAAAAAACACTAGTCTTCGAAGGAATTATTTCCTTTTGAGTGGATGGGGTATCAGCAACAACAACTTTAGGTTGGATTGGCTCTACTTCTGTAGTTGGTACTTTCTTCGAACTCTTTGTTGATTTAGATTCTTTGATAGATTTCTCAGACGATTCAGCAGCAACCTTCTTCGAACGTTTAGTCTTCTTTTCGTCTTCTCTAGCCAAAAGAACCCCAGTTTCAATAGAAGTATCAATGGTTTGTAAGTAAGTGATTAGATCTGTGTTGGTGGGATTAACTCTTTTCAGCATAGCATCAGGAATGTGAGCAACTATTGGAAATTCGTCAGTATCGTCAGCCATATCCTTCGGACAACTATAAACATGAAACACAGCCTTTTCTTCGTCTGCCGGAACCAAAATCCCTTCCTTATCATAAAAATATTGCAAAATCAAACTCCAATATCGAGCACACGAAATGCCATGAAGAGCATTCGTGTTCTCTATAATCTTCAAGAACTCCTTCCATAATTGAGTAGAATAATCAACCTAAAGATCATAGTATAAACCTGCGACCATCGCATAAACTTCCATCCTCCCCTTGTCCAACCCAACAGTTCTTCCAGTTAAGCATCTGAGAAAAATGTCGAACAAAAAATTCCAAACACTCGGAAGTCCTGACTTCTTGAAATCACTTATTTTCGCCAATTGGGGTTGATGACCCATTTCATTGAACATGTGAACAATTTGTGGGAATGTAAAAGTGACGTATGGAGGAGAATTAGGTATATCGAGAATTTGGCAGAAAAGCTTCTTTGAGAGTCTAACCTTCTTATCATTCACAAGATTAAACAAAACTGCATCCAAGGATTTAGAGTAAGTAGCTGTTGATCCAGCTTGAGACAACCATGAAAGAGGCACAGAGAATGAGTTGAACATGGCTTTTGATAATACGGAACTTTTCAGAGCAACAATGAGCATTTTCAATTCTTCAAGATAGTGAGAGATGTTTGCTTCAACTTGGTAATTTTTTTTCCTTGAATCTTCATTATCGGCAATGAGGTTACATCATCAGTGGTGTGAGACAAAGTTACATCAGGATTAGCGGTTTCCATTGTTAGGGTTTGAAAGTTGGATGTTTATAAGAGAAAATTTGGGAATATGAAAGCGTAAACTGATAAGAAACCCTTGAATCCGCTTTTATATGTAACACTGAAATTTGAAATCAAAGCGGGATAAGCATTTAATGATCTGTGAAGTGTCACCGAGAAAACCGTGTCATGATGATGAAATAGTAACCATGCGTGATAAAGTAACTGTCACGTCTCCTCAAAACCCACACAGAATTCAAACAGTCCCCTCAAACAGGCTGGATTGTTTGCCGCAATAGAATAGTAACCGTCAGAACCCTTCGGATGGAGGCAAGGCTCTTTTACTTTATGGTTTCAAAGTAAAGTCATTTGCTAGATTCTTGAAATCATCAACCTGAGTTGGTATTACTCAGAACCTCAAGGAGTTCGTGTGTGTCAAGTGTGTAAAAATAAAGATGAGAAGCAATTAAAAAAAATTGGATATTCAGTGATGTCAAAAATTTAATTTGACACAAAGGCAGTTAAAACCCTGGGCAAAGATTGCTTCGTTAATTATCAAGAGAGATAATCAACAACTTGTGTATCACTACTAGAAAACAGACCTTTAATGACGCGCTTTTTGCGACACGCGCTGATTAATGATACGCAAAAGGACGTGCCCTTAAAATATTGTTATCTCTCCAAAAAAATTAAGGATTTACGTCACGCATTATTGCGTGCCCTTAATTTAGTGTCTCAAGAAAAAAAATAAAAACACGGAAGGCACTTTATCTTAAACGCGCGTCGTCTGTACCTGTCACTTTATAATTTTAATGAAACGCGCTTTTAGTAGACAAGGGGGGAAACGAAAATTTTGAAAACCCGCCTCGTTTTTTCTATCTTCTATCTATCTTTCATCCTTGCAATCCGCTCTCCCCTCTCTGATACTCTCTCCTTTAGATCTACCTTCATTCTCTACCTCCCGTCTCTATGTAAACCCTAAACCATTGCCACCTCCCTTCTCTCTAGCACGTGCTAGGGTTTTTTTTTCTTTCAAGCATCTGCTTCTCTCGTTTTCTCTCAACCTAGTACGTGCGAGGGTTCGAAATAATTGTGCAAATTCAAACAATAAATCTTCCATTTCAACTTATTTTAACTCTGGATCATCGGGTATTTTTTCATATTCCATTTCCGGTTTTGTTCACTTTCGAATTCGGAATGGGTCCCGTTCTTTTCTACTTCAATACTCTCGATCTCAATCAGCTTTTCTTATTCCACTTCGTCTTCTTCTACTTCTTCTAACAATGGTGGTTCCTGCTCAGGGGTAACCTCGGAAATCTGCAATTTAAAAAACCCAAATAAGTCAAATTTTTAGGTATAGGGTTCTTTATCTGGAAGCACAAGGCCATCTGCAATCAATTCAGCTAATCTGAGCTCACAGGTACATGTTATAATCAACAAATCTCCATCATCATCTTTGTATTTTATCAAAACAGACTTCGATTCTAACACTCTTTCGTTCCCCCCCCCCCTTCGCAAACACACATGAATTATGAGTTCCTTATCTTTGCCTATGGGGTTCACGAAGCATTGTTTATACATCTAGGGTTTCTGAATTTCGAGTATTATGCACACAAATATCAGAAAAAATATGATCAAATAGCTCAAATATGGTCCGATTCCAGTTCTCAAAGCCCTCAACTCCGATTGACATGTGATTAAGGCTGAACAGGTACCACAATCCTTATTTTTCTATTTGTATATCTTTGTTTCTTTATTTACATATTTTGTGATTATATTATGATTGTTCGGACCTGCTTGGAAAAAGCTTAGTCTGTATGATGTATGATTGTAACAGTTGTTCATAAAGTAATGTTTGAGGAACAACGCAGATTTGTATCAGAAAGCAAAAATGTTGGGTTCCTTTTTGTTTACTTTAAGGTTGGAATGTTGGATCCCCCAAGAGAGGAAGTCAGAGAGGTTGCTAAGAAAAGAATTGACTAGAATGATGCTAACAATTGGGTTGTAGAGGTTCAGAACATGCTTAAGAAATATGCACATAAAGTGTTTGTAGAAATGCCAAAGAGAGAAAAAAAGTTGTGAAACTGTTAAAACTATGGTGACAGTATTGAAGCTAAGAGGTTCTTCACCAAATTCCTCCAGAATGAGGTAGTCCATGAAATTAGTATCAATCCTAATGTAATTATCTATAATGAATGACCATGGATTCTCTTGCAGTCTTGTAATACATCCATTCAAACATTGATCTCTCTGATTGACAATATGAAATAGCTTCTAGAACACAAAGGACAAAACTCAACAGATCTCTGAAAACAGATAATTCAGATGGGACAACATACAAGTATGGACTGTATTTTACAAGTGAATCAAAAGCAAGAGCTTCAACAATTACAAAATCATCTCCAATCCAAACCCATGGAACATTATTGAGAGAACCTTTAAGAAGGTCAAAGTCATCAGTGCCAACATATTCTTGCAGATTTGAGAAAACAATAAAGGTATTTAAAAATTTGCTTATATTTTTAATACTTTATATATATATATATATATATATATATATATATATATATATATATATATATATATATATATATATATAATACTTAATTAACTGATTGTGTTCATTCTCTTGAGGGCTAATTTTGTAATTTCACCTTTTTTATTTTTCAGGCTGACAGCTTGGAAGAAGCCATAGATATTTCCAACAGAAATAAGTAAACTTTATTCCTCTCTTTATGTTTAAAACAAACTCCCATCTGTTTTGCTTTCATTATTTAAAATAATTAAAAAAAATTATGCAGGTAGTAACCAATAGCAAATGCAAGTTGTACTACATATGCAATATCCATATTTATAAATTTTACGAAGTGTGTTGATGGGAGACACTGGTGTCTGGAAGAAGATAATAGAGGACGTACACCGTGCCACTGGATTTACCATTTGTAGTATCATATACAATACCTATCACTCCTCTCCACATACACTGGTGTAGGTCAAAAGTTTTGGGTGGAGTTGGAGGTTGAGCTTGTCAATACCAAAGGGGTTGCAAAGACTACTCGGAAAATAATGTTTGTGGCTTGTTTCTTAAGTTGCCTACACAAATTTGTTGTGTTATGTAGTAATAAAATTATTTTCTTTCTCAATTGAAAACTCAATTGAAAATAAGGTTTAAGAGATCAGTAATTGGATTGGGGTGGTGGGTGGGTTTGGATTAAAATTATTTTCTTTCTCAATTGAAAACTCAATCTGAAAATTATAGATAAGTCATAGAATTTTTATTTCAACCATTGACTAATTATTAGTTGTGTACAACGAAAGAAAGAGGGGCTACTTGGCACTTGTTTGCGGAAATGCACTATGAAATCAATAGCCTGACCAACTGATATCTTCTATGGGTGCAGTAGAATTCATTATTTGCCATGCTGAGGTTACACTTGCTTTTGTAGAAGCTAAAAAGATCCCTGAGGTAATCCAATCAATCATATTCATTTTATTATCTTACATAAAACTAAAGTTAAACAAATCTTTTAGCATAAATTTAAAATTTTTTCCTAGAAATAAATTTCTTTTTATCATTTAGGTGCTAAAAACCTTTCCGAAAGCTGGAGAGTATCTAAAAAGTAAGTTACTCATCATGTCTAGTTTTTTGAACACAATCATAAAGAATTACAGGTAGTAATTTATATGTTTTACTTCAGCAATTGTGAGGTTTGGCAAAGTTACCCCTGAACAAAAAGAACAATGTGAAGGTTTTGGTGTAGCAATACATTCATGGGAGGAGTTCTTGTCAGTGGTATGCTCTTATATCTCTTAAATTGCAATATTAAATTTTGGGTTTTGTGTAAATGTGAAATATAATTCAATTTTGATTTTTGACACCCTTTTATCTATTTGCAGGGTGATGATAAACAGTTTGAGCTCCCACTGAAGAAGAAAAGTGACATCTGTACAATAATGTACACTAGTGGGACAACTGGTGATCCAAAAGGTGTTCTAATTTCAAATAATAGTATTGTGACACTTATAGCTGGTGTTCATCGTCTTCTAGGAAGTGTAGATGCATCAGTGAGTTCCCACTTAGTTTTTGATTATTTGAATATAAAAAAACAAAATATTGAAGCTTTTAGAATAAAACTTTGAGCTTTGGGATGTATATCAAATAAAACTTTGGAGTTTTTGATGTATAATGAATAAACATGAAAAAGGATTACTAATTTCTGCTTATTTTATACTTAACAATGATAAAAAAAAAATTTCTAGTTGGATTCAAATGATGTTTATCTCTCGTTTCTACCCTTGGCACATATATTTGATCGGGTGATTGAAGAATGTTTTATTAATCATGGAGCATCTATAGGATTTTGATGTGGGGTAAGAAGATTACTAAATTTTATTTGTAATTAATTTCATATGAATCATATCATACTTTGTATTATTCTATATATATACAGGATGTTAAATTGCTGATTGAAGACATAAGGGAGCTAAAACCTACTATTTTATGTGCTGTTCCTCGTGTCTTGGATAGGATTTATTCATGTATTTTTGTGTTAGTTAATTATTGTGCAAATAAAAAAAACATAATTTTCCCTTATTTAATTAATGAATTGAATTCCTTCTATTTTTATTAGGTTTGCAACGGAAAATTTCTGCTGGGGGTTTTCTCAAAAGCAAATTGTTTAGTCTTGCTTATGCATAGTAAGTATTGTGCAATTTACAAAAAAACATAACTTTTTAAATTTGCTTTTCATAAAATAATTTGCATACTAAACTTGTGCAGCAAGTTACGTAATATGAAGGGAGGTAAAAAACATCCAGAGGCATATCCATTAAGTGACAAAATTGTCTTCAGCAAGGTGTGTGACATGACATCATCTTATATCACCTTCTATATCTTCAACATGACTTTTAAACACAAGGGTAAAATCATCATTTTTTTCATTTATGCAGATAAAACAGGGACTAGGAGCTAATGTACGCATTATTCTCTCAGGAGCTGCACCACCAACTCCACACGTAGAAGCTTTCCTAAAAGTAGTAACACGTAGAAGCTCTAAAATCAATAGCTTGTCAATACCACAGGGGCTGGTCATTTAGGGAGTGTGATATCTTCTATGGGTCGCTGGAGAATGAGGCTTGAGGTTCCGCGTGCTGAAATTGATGAGATGCTTCCACTTGCTAGGCTTGTTTCCCGAAGTACCGATCCAGCTCTTCAGTTTAGATCAAAGGTCATCCTCATTCATTCATTCATTTATTAAGTTTTATTCTATCATCCAAACCCAAAAAACTCTCAGCTAAATCTAATGTCTTCTATGTGCAAAACACATGAGAATGAATGAATGAATGCCCTATACCAAAATATAGCAAACACAGCCAATCGTAATCCTGTTCATATACCATAAGAGAGTAAAGTAAAGTAGGTTCCATTCCCATACATTGGTTTGGTAAACAGAGTAAATAAAGTAGGTTGCTATTTGTAGCAAAGCTCTATCTAGTCTAGGGGTGTATAAATATTATATGATTTTAGGTGATGTTGTTCCCCATTACCTTAATGTTGATCTTGCATTGGGAGATATACGTGTTGCAAAGTGTATCAAGTCTGACTACCCATGTGTCCCATTGGAGGAAGCTCAAGGTTCTTTACTTCTCTTACACTGTAATAATCCATCTTCACACTTATTTTGTAGTTATGTTTTTTTTTTGCAGGCAATATAGATACTTTGAGCAAGTTCATGCATTTAGAGTCCTTGAGTGATGTTACTAAGGAAGAGTGGAGACAGGTGAGGCACACATTTAAAAAAATCAGCACAAATCTTGTTTACAGTGAGGCACACATTAGGTTATTAGAACTATTAGTTTATAAAATTTTGTTACAACTTCTATTGATTTGTTTTATCTTTCCATGGAACGATTATTTGTATGACATTAAATTTATGCAATGGATTCTATTTTTTGTATATGATATTTTATTTTCTATTATGAAACATTAAATACAAATTTAATTTGAAAATAAGTAAATATATAAATAATATTTTTTAAAACATTTAAAATTATGATACGCAAAAATGTGTGTCATCTTCAGTTATGACATGGCCTTTCTTGACAGGGGCTTTCTTGATACGTATTGCATGTCATTAACACGCGCGTCGTAAGGTTACGACATGCGAATGCGTGTCGTCTTCCTTTATGACAGGGTCTTCCTTGATACGCATTGCGTGTCGTAAACGCACGTCGTAATGGCGTGTCGTAAATGAGCGTCGTAAATGCGCGTCGTCTCTCTTTATGACAGGGCCTTCCTTGACGCGCATTTGCGCGTCGTCTGAGCCTTTTACGACGCGCAATGAGCGTCGTAAAAGGCTGTTTTTCTAGTAGTGTATTTTCCCGTGAATTACAATCGAATACTTGTAAATAAGTATCGAAGGGCTTCTTTTAAAAAGGCTTTTGAGGTGGTTTAATGAATTTTGTTACATCTCAACCTAAACATAAGGTGAGTAATTGTAATAGAAATTACTTGTTTGACCAGTGTAGTTAGTGATAAGTTTGCTTTGAAAAACTTTTAAGTAACATGGTATTTCAGATAAAACTCACATTGAAATCATATTCAAGAAAAAAATTGTATTCTGGATCCTGTTGGGTAACAAACATCATGGGTTTTGAATGTTTGATCAAGACCTCACATAAGAAAGGAATATGATTTGCAGTTTTGAACGAAGGTACAGAAACAAATGTTTCGTTAAAATCTGGAACTAAGTTCCCCGTCAATTCCTTAAAGTGTAATTGAATTGGGTTTCACTTCCATCACGGTCTCATGATGTCTGATCATAAACATAGATTTGTGATATATCTAAGTTTCGATTGGTTTGATCAGAAACCTCTTGGACATATGTCTTCCTGTGTGATAGTGTAAGAATTTTGAGATGAAAAAGATTGGTATACGAAAGAATATGTACCTCTGTAATTTTGGACCAAACAGAAAACTCTTAACTCATGTGAGAAGAGTAAGGTAGCTCATTGGACTAATGCGAATGTAAGCCTAATTGGGAAGAAATCTTCGTATGAAAATTTCATTAAGGCTTTCAAACATTGAGTCATTTCAAGGCTTCGGACAACATGCAACAGCATGCTTCTAGGGACATCTTAACTTGTAAAAAAAATGAAATTCAAATAATAGAAAGATAAATGTACCTCACCCTAGAACTATAAGCCTTGTCCTCTTTGTATCTTCATAAATATCTGCAACACAGTACTTAAAAAGAAAGAAGAAACAAAATCTTTTTGTTGTTTTGGATTTTTCAAAAACTATGAACAAAATAATAAGAAAATCTTTTTGATGTTTTTGATTTTTCAAAAATTAAGAACAAAATTATAATAAAATCTTTTTGATGTTTTTGATTTTTCAAAAAAAAAAAAAAACAAAAACAAAAAAACAAAACAATTAAAAGTACTCGTTGCAAATATTCGAAGTTTTACCAAGCTAATAAAAATACCAATCATACAAATTCGAAGCATTCGAAGAGTTGACTGTGAACAGTAACCTCTGAATACTTAATGATTTTTCTTTGTCGTTTTCTTGTAATCATTGTTTGTCTTTTTCGCATGGAATTGAATTTCCATCAATCATTCTCAGTCTTTCCAAAATTTGTACAAACGATTTTTCATCCAAAGTTTTTGTGAAAATATCAGCTAACTGATCAGTTGTTTTCACAAAATGTACTTCAATATTTCCTTCCTTCACATGATCTTTGAAGAAGTGATAACGAAGAGCGATATGTTTAGTCTTTGAATGCTGCACAAAATTATGACAAATTCTTATTGCACTTTGTGAATCACAATATAAAGGAATCTTTTTCATGTTAATTGCATAATCACGTAATTGACTTTGGATCCATATTATATGTGAAGTGCATGCAAAAGCATCAACATAGTTTACATATTGAATTTGTTAATCAGTTACACAAAAGGAAGAAAGTAAAATTTCTTGAAGTTGCACCACTTGATCTCCTAGTCGAACTTACTACCTGTTATTGGATCCCTGAGAATACAAGTCTTTTTGAAAAGCGTCAACTAAAAAGTTGGTGAGTTCATAAGCAGTTTTGTATAAAAATGATTTTTGTACTTGTTTAGAATAGTTTTCATAGTGCTTTCAGAAATCCAATATTTTCTATAAAGAAATGGTTTGAAATATTTGTGTTTGATCTTATATTAATGCATTTGTGTTAATGTTTGGAAAAATAGAAAGAGAATGATTTCCAGATAACCCAATGTTGTCTGCAGTAGATAATGCTAAAATCTCAACCCCCGTGGTTGAGTACCAGTGCGTATAGATTACCGTTTTATAAAAAAGAAGGTTTCCTGTTTTATCCAAAAAGAAAGCAGAAGGGTTTCCCGTTTTATCCAAAAAAAAAGAATGGTTTCCTGTTTTATCCAAAAAGAACATAGAATGGTTTCCCGTAAATTTTATAATGTTAATTCCTCTAAGTGAGTCGTTATAACCATACTAAATAATGACAATTTCGCTTGTCTTGACATATTTGGGACGCCGACGGAACAAGGTATGGGTTGTCACCCTAGATTGGCCTAGTCTAATTGTAGCGAACAACTACGGTGTGGGGTGTCATCCCCGTATAGATCTATACAAAAACTCACGCTCTCTCTTCGGGAGACTCTGGTTATAACTACAGGCTACGTTTGTACACTCATACGGTGCCAAACGAAATGTCTCACTAGAACCTTAATCAAAGTTTACGTGGAAAAAGAATAAAAACATATAAAACTCATTCCCAGGCCCAAATGAAACGTGTAAGTGAACCACTAAGGTATCGCTAAACATGTAAGTCATTTGAAGGCCCGATAGGAATGAGATTATATAACCTGGGCCTATAATATATGTAAAAGGACCACTAAGGCCCATTTCACATTTAAGGTATTTACAGGCCTAAACAGCACGCAAATAGAATCCAAGGTCAGTCGCACATGTTAATGGGTCAATGAGACCCAATAAACATATAAATAGTATTCAAGATCTATCAAACATATTAATGGGTTACTAAGGCCCAATAAACAAGAAAAGAACCTAATTAGCCCGTTTGTTATTATATTGCTAGTTTTAGCTCGATTATTTACTAAATTGATATTAAAAGCCTACTTGTTGTAAAAATGACTTTCTTGGTCCAATAAACCACAAATTTTCAATTAAGGCCCAATTTTAGAAAAAATAACACTTTAATCCCCATTTTGTTCAAAACTTGTATTTATGGCTAGTTTTTGGTAAAAATAACATTTTAAATACATTTTTGTCAAAAATATCATTTTTGGCTTGATTCTTGTGAAAATACACATTTTTCTGGTTTTTGGATTTTCTGACCCGGTTGTTAGAAAATTTGTAGAAAAATCATCGTAAGTAGCAATTTGGATCAGTAAACTCTGAAATTTTGGAAATTTTGTCTACTTTTTTCACAATGTTTCTCATAATTTTTAATGGCCTCAAACAAGTATGAAATTGCTCATCTTCACAGGCTTGTCTGAGATTATTTCAAATATGATAGACAGTTTTGTAAAATTCGCCACAAATTGTAGAAAAATCTTATGAAAATATGAAAGTAGTCATTTTAAAGTTTATAACCTGAACCTTTTGAATGTAAAACAGTTTTGAAAAATATTACCATTAAGTTAGTCAAAACAGTTCGATATTGGACCAAAACGTTTCTGTCAAGGGCTGATTTTTGAGTTTAGTATATAAATCTTTGAACACAACACTCATTTTTTCTATTTTAAGTGTATAAATCTCAGATCTACAAGTTTACATATAGTATATGAGAAAAATATACTTTTCTGATGGTATTTATGAATAACTAAGTGATAAACTTCATTTTCAAGTAAAGATCTAAATGTTAAACACATAAACATGCACATATACATAGATCTAACACAAAAGCACTTGTATCCTCACCCAAAAACATTATAAAACTGAATATAAGGGGGTATGAACTCACCTTAGGGTTTTTGAGATGTAGATGAAGAATAAGAAGAATCTTTGAACCTAGCTTAGGTTCTTTGAGATAATCTCAAAATGGTGGTGGGTCTAAGAGTTTTACACA